ATATATAAACAATTTACCAAAGTTTCATGAAAATTGCTCAAAGCATTTTTAGTTTATAGTCAGAAAACTGGAAAATCCCCCATTTTGTTATTAATGCAATGGCAAAACTTAGAAACAGAAAATCTTAAATTGATCAAAAGCAAAAAGAAGCCTACGTCAATAAATATGTACCATTCACTAAAGTTTCATGCACATTGAAGAAAGCGTCTTTATTGTTATTGTCCGAATTGTTGACGACAGACGGACAGACAGTCGGACAATGGTATACCAAAATACGTTCTGTAAATGGGAGTATACAAATCACAGATATCACACACACAAAAACACAAAACAGAATGAGAATGTGTATGCCAGACAAGCAAGAAGGGTTTCAATATCCTCCGATATGAGTCCTGCACAAATAAAATCGAACTTGGAATACATGTGTATTGTAATCATGTATTACATTAAATTTAAATTGATCTGATTCAAAATTCCTGAAATGGTCTTTCAGCAAAATTTCTTTTATTTCAGTTGACTGAAAAGGATGAAAAAAACGCATGAAACTGTAACCAATTTAAGACCCTCAAAGTGACCAATGGAACATTTTAATATTTGTCAAGTAATGTTGTGTATAACTGGACTTGTGTCATAAGTTTTATGTACATGTATCTATGATAATATTTCATTTTAATTGTGTACATGTTTGTCCCTTACAGTAATACGTTTATTGAGGGCAAAAAAAAAAACAGGAATGATCAAAATATCATTTGCCGGTAAGTATTTGTTTCATTAGAAACTTTATTGTTGATGCAAATTAAAATGCAAAAGTTTGAAGCAGGTTTTATATTTTATAAAATATAAAAGTTTGTAATTTCCAAAATCAAATTGTTAAAGGGTATGGGAAAATGGAACAATTTATATTTAAAATCTAATAAAAGAAAAGACAAATTGACAAAATTTTATAAATATGTCCATAAAAAAGCAAGCTATATATCAATGTGATGTGTCCTTGGTATTTTTAATAGTACTTTATTTTCTTTTTTCCAAATTCTATTGATCAAATAAATAAGTAGTTTTTATGTTCAGACTGAATCTAAATATTTGTTACATTTTATGTTGCCAAGTTATCCATCAGTTATGAAATAAGGAGGTGTGAAATGATTGCCAGTGAAACAGCCATCTGCCCGACAACAGTAACTTTTTAGAGTGAATCCGGGTCATTGTGACAAATGACAACAATCTGATGTAGTCACACTCTGATTTGTATATGACCAAAGTGTTGAAGAGACACAGAGCTTCTGGTTCCAAAGCTTTAGAAAAACTTGTTATAATGACAGAGATTAAAATGAAAAAAAAAATGTGACTGCAATGAGAATATTCTCCACAAACAAAGACGTTAACAACGTTGTGTCACCGTACGGCCTTCAAAAATGTTAAATACCCATATTGCATATAATGGTGTTGTCAAGGAGAGTAATGGCTAGATAATTTTTAGAATGTGTCGCAAGTAAATCATTGTTTGCCCTCTGCATAGGATTGAGATGCAATATCCCACCCATGCACTTGAATGATATAAAGGACCAGGAAATGATTTTTATTTAGACCACATGTGAAGTTCATCAAAATCTACTATAAAAAAATAACAAATGTGTAAAGAGTTAAACACAAAGTATGCATTATACATGTTTTTTTGGAAAATCTGTGATTCAACAATGTATCCTTATTAGGCCTTATTCATAACAATGCAGTAGAAAGTTATAATGTTCCACGATGTGTATCAATCTGTCTAATAATTAGGTAGACACTGGTTTATAAATGAACACATTGGTGTCAGTGCTCTTCACTAAAGTTGCCCTTGGTTAAAGGGTCTGAAATTTCCATCTCCCTCCAAGAATGGACCACAAGGGTTAATATCGTGGGTGTTGTTAGAATGGAAATATATACCAGTCGACTGGTATGCGTATAACATTGTGTTTATAGCGGACAATGTATAACGCATACCATTCGACTTGCATATAGTTCCATCCCAAAAACATCTATGACACGAACCCATGTGAATGCACAATATCTATGGTCATGACACATGTCAGTTCAAAATATACCATGTTAAATGGTGGGTATCTAAACAAATGTCCATATAATTAAGGAGATGAGGGGCAGGGGTTTGACACCAAGCGAACGAAATTAATTGCAGACTGAAACAGAATAGTCATTGCAAATAAGAATGTATACAGTTTAAAATTGAGGATGAGAATAGTTTTCAAGATCTTTTATGTTTAACAGTTAATGATATACCTGGAGCGAGGGATGTCACTGAGGGACAACACTACGATGAACTAGAAAGGTTTTATCAAGGCAAATCAGACTATGGATGGTTTAGGAAGGAGATTTGTACCATTTTTGAGATATTTACTGATTTATTTCATTAGGGGTCGGGACATGATCTGAAGGTACACATTTGTGTTTGCATTGGAATGATCTTGTCTTGTCATGGCTAGCAAGAACAGTATATTTGTCTGCAGCATTTCCTGAAATGGCAAAAATTAAACTTGTATATTTGTGGATTGTTCAACAATCACAATGATTAATGGATGCAATAATTTCTGAAATCAATGTTGACCTTGAATGATCAAGGTCAAAAGTTTTATTCTATGGAACCCAACACATTAGCTTGAGGTTCTACATCCATAAGCCAAATATTAAAAGTTGATGTCAAAAGATGAACAAGCTGCCTTCCAGATACAAACCTGTAAGACTAATGACCAACTGGCCCATTAAATGAGAATCTTTGTCCATTGTGTAACATGATTGAGTACTATCATGGTAAAGATATGCGCAACCAACAGAAACACACTGTTTTGTGAGCAAGATACACAGTCTTGGGTGCTACGGCAACCAAATAATTATATTGGAGAAGTGACAACATTTTTTTTATTAGGATATATACAATAAAAATTCAAAATAAATGGTGTCATGCAATTTAATTTACATACTATCATTGCAGTTTGCCTAAGCAAAGTTTTTCTCATATCGTACAATTTTCACGATTTTTTGCATTATTTAACCTTCTATTTTTGCACAAATGTTTGAACACTAACATAGATCTACACTGATATCTAGGTAGTGTACTTCACAAATTATTGCATGCATTTATTATTGAATGTTTTGAAGAATTGACATAAATGCGAGACTTATTATTGCAATTTCTGGAAAATATACATACAGATATATGTATCAGATATCCGAATGCGAGTTCTTAATATTGCAATACTCACCCAAGTCGCATTATTTGCCATAATAAAAACCTCGCAATAATTTCTGAATGTAAAGTAGTCATAAGTGATGTTTTCTTCCGGTGATAGACAATTTAAAACTGATACAAACTGGCTTTGTTGCCATATATTTCATTAGAAATTCGCCGTTTGAGCTTTTATATTGAGTTTCATAAATGTCAAATTCACAAACAAATTGTAAAAACAATATTATATATTCCAAGTCAGTTTTTTCTTCGGAAAAATTTGGTTGATTATATGAAGCATCCCCTCTTATGGCAGTCAGTTCCCCCAACCCCCCTTATAAAAAGTTCCGGATCCGCCACTGACGATGAGATACGTAAAAATAAGATCCAACTTAATATAATACCAATACATATCGCATGTGTATATTTTCCTTTAAACCTGTTTGATAAACAATTTAATGCTGTATTGATTCAGAATCAGAAAACCGTTACTTAATGAATATGATAAAGTGTGATTTTATCTTCAGTCGTGTTAGAATTCATCAGGTGTCATCATCAGCGATGTTTGAACTAAAAGGGGTTCACTTTCAGAGATGAGTAAATATGTGAGGCTTCAAAATGAATATTGTATGAACTTATGAGGAATCGTCATCCTTGGAGTGTAAATAAATGGGATTTTATGATGCAATGTTATCATCAGTGATTTGTGAATTTGTGAAAAATCATCATTAATGAATTTGAATTGATTAGGATTCAGAATCAGTGAATTGTAAATATATGATGATTCATCATTTATCAACAATGAATCTAAGAGAATTAGTCATAGGTGAATAACATTAAATAATAATATTAGTGAAGTGTGCGGGTTTAATGATTCATCGTAGGGATGTTGGTAATGTATATCAATTGTAAATGAACTATGAGGGTTTCACCATCAAAGGCGTGTGAACTTATGAAGATTCGTAATCTGAATGTGTGTGGATTCATGATCAGTGGAGGGTATATCAATGATGTTTTGTCATTTTTGAAGTGCAAATGTATTAGAAACCTTTAACAGCGAAGTGTAAAGTTATGACGATGCACCATCAGTGAAGTGTTAATTGATGATGAGTAGTGGATGATCAGTGGCATTTGTATGCATATATCATCGTCTTTAGTTGTGAGTGAAATAATAAACATTCATCATAGGTTGGGTGTGGTTTTCAACATAAGTGGAATATAAGATAATGATTCGATGTTGTGAAAACTGATCTAAGATACCATTCTTATAATTTACTACGCCACACACAAACGTTATCTATAGTATGTGACACTTTTATTTCAGAAAAGGTTTGTTATTCTGTTTTTTTATCAGAAAACACAACCAGTGACGGGTTGGGTTAGGTTTTCTATGAATTTAGTTTTCAAATAAGTGTCTATTTGTCTTTCTTTTTTGTTGTTATTTGGGTGATAGTTGTACAATTTATATCCAGTGGTGTGTAAACCAATGAGGATTAATCATCACTGAAATGAAAATTAATGAAGATATACCAGAATATATCATCAGTGGTGTGCGAATTTATTATTATCAGTACATGTCGAATTAGTGATAATTAATAATTTATGAGGCGTATAGTAATGAGGTTTCTTCATCTGTAAAGTGTAACGTTATGAGGATTCATCTTTCATGGTGATTTAAAGTCTAACAAGTATTTTCTGTTGCCCATTAAACAACAATACTATATGTTAATTCATTATGCAGATTATAAGCATCAGACTTAGGAGATACTATATATTATTACCTTATTTCTTGCTTCTCTAACACAGCCTGCGGAAACAAGGAATTGGACGGTATCTAGGTGTCTATAGTAGGCAGCATTTAATAATGGAGTATCTCCATCCTGAAATATCAACATAAAACCGACATCAAAACTTGGAACATTAACTGGACAACCGTGTGTAATAAGCATGAATACAATAATCATCAGATCAAACATTGGTCAAAGATGACCAGTCACACTTTTATCTGTATTCTACCGAAACCACAAAAAAAACAAAAGGAACATCACAACTCTCATCATAAAAAAAGAATTGAAAGAAATGTATAACATGTTCATATCAATGAATACATTACGATAAGAAAAGTAACATGAGAACCAACTTTATATTATTCTATCAAGTTTTTGATGTTTTGTTGAAACTTGTCTAATTCGTATCATGCTTACATACTTATTAAGTATAAAAATCAATGTTTAAAAAACTAATTTTAAAAGATGTGTTCAAACCACTGCATTTAAGTATGAATTGATAAGGATGCATTATCAGTGAAGTGTATGAATTTATAAGGATGCATTATCAGTGAAATGTGTGAATTTATAAGGATGCATTATCAGTGAAGTGTGTGAATTTATAAGTATGCATTATCAGTGAAGTGTGTCGATTTATAGGGATCCATTATCAGTGAAGTGTGTGAATTTATAAGGATGCATTATCAGTGAAGTGTTAATTTATAAGGATATATTATCAGTGAAGCGTGTGAATTTATAACTATGCATTATCAGTGAAGTGTGTGAATTCATTAGTATGCGTTATCAGGGAAGTGTGTGAATTTATAATTTTGCATTATCGGTGAAGTGTATGAATCTATAATGACGCATTTTCAGTGAAGTGCGTGAATTTATAAGGATGCATTATCAGTGAAGTGTAAAATTATGAAGATTTATAATCAGTGTGGTGTGATTTTTTTTTATTTGAAATATGTGGTGTTTGATTTCAAAGGGGTTCACTATCAGTAGTGTGTGATTTTTTGAGGATTTATCATCAGTGGCGTACGATAATGATAAGTTCTCATCAGTAAAGTGTGAGTTGTATCAGAATTCAACATCAGTAGTGTTTACATATATCAGGAGTCACCATCAGTGGTGTGTGAATTTAATAGGTGATGATTCTTCATGAGTGAAGTGTGCAGGATTGAGGTTTCATCATAAGAGCTGTGTGATTATATCAGGATGCATCACCAAGAAGTTGAAAATGATGTAGAAATATACTCAGTAGTTTGTAAATTTACACAGGGATTTATCAACAGCGATGTGTTAATTATTGAGGAAAAATCATCAGTGAATTGTGAAATAATGTGAACTCATAGTCATTCTCGACTGGTGAGTGTGAATGTCCTTTTCGCCTCTCTTTTAATGACAAGATTGAAATTTCTTGTATCTATTTATTTAAATTAAACCTATTTGTGGATGAGATGACCAGCATGTTATGAGTTCCCATCTCAAATGTATAATAATATCTTTGTTTATATATTATTTGTATCGTCACTTACTTCATCTCTATATTCCAAATCAGCTCCCTTTGCAATGGAAAGTTTCAAATCTGTTAAAATTCCTTCACGAGCAGCTTTAATTAGTTTCTATAAGAAAAGCTACTGTTGATTACTATATTATATGATCTACATTATGCATGATGCACAGTGCATGAATGATTTTATCTACTTTTGCCTACAAGACGAAAACATTATTTTACTATATGTTGTATAACAAAACAAAGTGATTGTAAAATATATTTAAATTAGGTATCAACAATATTATCAAAATATATTCATGTACTAGAGTCAGACGCATAACTTTAAAACATTGCCGATCTTATCTAATGCGTGTCGATATCTTACACTGCATATACGAAATATATAGAAGATATAAAACATTCTATAATGTATGGTAGTTATTTGAATCTTAGTTGATATTTAAAACGTATCTGCTTAGTTCTGAAAAAAAGACATCCATATTATGAAAGTTCATTTTTATGACATTGATTGCACATGGAAGAGTAACGATTTGATAATACCAATACACCTCTGCAGTTGTTTTGCTTAAACTTTCAAGATTAAAAATGTTAATAACTTATACTTTTAGTTTTGCCAAACAAAAGAATTGAAGGGGTTTTTTTTTCGTCATTTTTTGGACATTAAAAAGCAAGTGACGAATCTCATTCTTAGAAAGAATTAAAACAAAGAAGCATTCAACTCCTAAGGTAGATTCATGGTATACCGCCATCTTGGATTGTACAATCGCAGTACACAATCGGTCTAGTTCTTTGCCCGAATCTGCAAATTTGGAGACAGATTCGCAATGTATTGGTTAGACTGTTTATTTATATAGAGAAAACTTAGTGAGTTATTGCATTATCCAAAATGTTTAAGCAAATACAAAGTATTTGTGGGTTTTAGGATCAATTTTTCAACTTAGCCATTTAAGGGGAGATAACTCTTTTAGTAAAAAAAATATACTGGACTGATTGGGAAATGTTATTTGTTTATTTGTAGCAAGAAAACAAGTTTGGTGACACCATATTTTCTTTTAATTTTCTTAAAACATATTATAAAACCTATCTTCTCATATTTTATTTCAAAATTCTATCTCATAGATTCTTTTATGCACAAAAATGTTTTTTCATGAACAATCTAAGCAAATTTGGGCAATTTTGAAGGACTCGTAGCTTGACAAATAGCACGGTTACCCATACTTTTTATTATATTTTTGAAGAAGCATAGTAAATTCTTCATTTTGGCAAAGTATAAACAAAATTCTATTTGAGGAAATATATACCGATTATCTACCTTAAGTGAATCTGCCTAATTGTGATTATTTATATATTATTGATTTTATTAATGTATCTCTCTGTGTAGAAAAAAAACAAGGCCACAAGGCAACTGGACAATTTAAGGGAAAATCTTACCTTATTCCAACTTTCCATTATATCCTGCAATTAGAAAACAAATTACTTTATTTGTTTTTAATCAATTTTATATACATTATTTAACTTATAGTTGTGAACAATGTCCCTTAGAGCTTCACCAATGACATTAAGGTTCCATCCTGTGTTGTTAATTTCTAATGAAAACAGAGGATTTTATTAGCAATATTATCAAATATTAATGTTCTGTGTTGCATTTTACAAAGTATTTTTACGAGCACATATATACACATATTTGATGACACTTAAAAGGTGTTTTGGTTGTTATTTTGTGAATCCCTGTGTAAATCGAAAGTAAAGTTAATCGAACAAACATGGTTTACTACATGGCTTGAAATAAATGTCATAAAAAGGTTAGTAGTTTTTACATTCATAATGAATGTCTTTACAATGATATATCATTATTCATACAGTACAAACATGAAAGAAATGTGCCAATTTGTAAACATAATATGATCGACCATTTCTGGTAAGAACATAAAAGAAATCAAGGATAAACTTATTGATCCACTTTCACTGATTGGTTAGTTGATTGTTTGTTGCTTAAAGTCATATGAAACTTCAAATTAAAAAAAAATGTGTATGTTTTATATACATGAATGGATTAGTTTCACTCTAAAAGAAGTGAACGTGAACTTTAAAAAAAGGGAATCCTTTACATTATCAAAATCTTCATAAATGTACCGACATTAAATTATTGACTTTCAAGACACTATTGCGCCGATATTTTCCCATTTGTATTGACCTTTACTACTTGAACTCTCGAAATAACTTCGGCCACCGCAAAACGCAAGTGCCAGGGGAAAACCGTGATGAAAGAATTAAACAAACGTGCAGTTGAAGATAAATAGTAATAACAAATTCATAATGAACAAATTTAATACAACAAATCATTTAAGAGCCAATCCGCCAGAAAACCATGCAATATTCAGAAAATCGTCCAAATCGACAATCACAACTTGACAAATTTTTATACATCATCTTAATCCTTGACATAAAATAAAAGAAATTTACCACTTAATTTTTCCCAGAATCGTATCTATTTTTAGTAACAGCCTCATCTGCATAATTCTGTAAATTCATAATGAAACCAAGGAAAAATCCAACTTTTTTATGCCTTTTAAGAATGACCCAGAAGCATATTAAATGGGGTAGTTGAGTTTTGAGAGTAATGTCAGCTGAAACTCATCCATTTACTATGTTATGATCAATACAAATGAAAATTTAAACGATTTGGCACATTGCCAGGAGCAGGGACACAAAGGCGGGGTTTTTCTTACATGAATTTACGTGGTTTTCATTCGCTTCTATCTTGCAAGACCCATTCCGGATTTGTTTGCAACTTATATCGGTTTTAAATATAGGGTATGTTTTATATCAAAACAAAATATTAAGCTTGGCAAATGACTATTATATGTTAATTTATGCCTTGGAAGAATGGTGATTTTAGTCCCAAATTGACACATTTTGATTTTGATTTTAATTAAATTCTAAACACAGTTGGTACTAAAATGGCTCATAAAATCATTCGAACAAGTAAAATCAATTTGTCTGAAAAATGAAATAAAACGTATTTGTACTGCAAGTCCAAAAATCAATATATTGTCTGAAACCAGGGAGTCCATCTTTTATGCTCTTCCATTGACTTATCTCCCTTGGGTTAGATCTCAAACATGTTAGCTCCCAGTGGTTTGGCAGACAAATGTTTACAGTGAAGTTTGTGACTTTAATAATCTAGGATGAGCATGTGGGCTATCCCAGCCTTATACATCTACATATTACAAACTATTTAAGATATCTGAATGCACTAAAGACCAAAATAGCATTTCCCAAGAAAATAATTACTGCCAAGAAATTTGACAATCATGACAATAATTTAGTGAATAAACATGATAAATATTGATTGGAAAAATAAGTCCATGAACAGCAAAAAGTGTTTTTAGATTTCAACGAGCAAAACAAAAGTATTCTAAATCATTCTTCATAAAAAAAAAGTGAGCGAGTGGAACCACCTTGCTCGCACCAAAATTGAGATTGAGAGTGTCAAAACTGCTCTGGCGCACCATCAATAAATCAACGACACTCTCTCTCTACCGTGGTATTGAAAACAGCATTGGTAACCAAACATATTCATACAGATACAGACTACCATTCATCTACATTTAGGAAGTCCGAATAATACTGAAAACTATGGTGTAGAATTTCCAACAGGACTCCTTATTTTATATAAGACAAGGAGTGGTTTATTTTCCCATGGTTGTTGCATCATCTTGTCTTTGAATATGCTCGAAGTACAGGAACTTTTATGGAATTCATTGACATGATAGTCAAGCAAGATGTCAACATCTCGTCCAACCCTCTTCCAGCAAAGCCAAAGCTGACCAAGGAGCTTCACCCTTTCAAAACAGGCTGTATACAGGACGAGTTATTCCAGTAGGAACAGGTACAAATCTTACAATCAATTTTCATTTGTTCCATATAGTCAATCTGACATTAGGGGACCAACAATTGATACATTAGCTAGATTAAAAAAAGGGGGGGTGGGTGTTGAAGGGCCATGTGAATATTCTTTGACACCTGACCTGTTTCTAAGACATCTTATTTATTTCCTATGGCAAAGTGCAAGCAAATAATATATATCCATTTATACATTGTTCTGTCTTGGGACCATTTGATTAAAAAAGCAAGGGGGAGGGTTAGAATGGTCAAAATATTTATGTCCTTGTCAGCTTAGGACAGAATTTTAATTTTCAAGCTATTAACCAGGGTACAATATATCTTTATTTTCTGCTTTAAAAAATCAATTTATAGACCAGAATCATGATAATAATCAAAATTTATTTCAACATATTCAACGTTTAGCAGGTCAGGTTTTTATTCTCTTCCCCTAAGTTATATTTTCAGTTCTTACTGGAAGTTGTTCAGCTCTTTGTCTACTAAAGACACTTTTATCTCATGGAAAAGCCTCCTACAAATACATGTTTTACATACAACATAGTCATACTGTACATGTAACACTAGACAACTTTATCCAGAGAATAATATTTTTTTAATGAACTAATAGGCCATGGAGACTAAAAAAATCAAAAGCATTGCAAACTTTTGTAAAGTTCAATTTTAGGACCCTACATGTACATGTATGTAGATTACTTATAGAGCCCTTTTTAAAAGAAAAAACATACATTTAAACTACATGCACAGTGATGCTACACTACCCTACATTTCCTGTCTGATATATTTTATTTCGTGTAAAACAAAATTGAAGAATTATTTTATAGTTTAACACTTTGTATTTGTAGGGCTATATATATGCAAGCAATGCTCAATTAAGATGAATTTTTGTAAAAGTGACAATAGCCAGGTCAAACTAAATACGTGTATAGAAGAATATATTGGTAAGTTATTATTAACTTATATATTATTTTAACTGTTTGTATAACATGGTAATCATACAAAGTATATGTAATCACTTATATAATAACATAATTATACAATTACATGTTATACATTTGTACATCAGTTTTATTAAACAGGTGTTTGTTAACTTGGTTTTCCCATTGAAACATCACTTTGCTAATTTTAATTTGTAGTACTATATTGGGCGACTCCTATAGTTTCCATTCAATAACTAACAATGACTAATGAACTGTTCATACATTCCATTTCAATTATTTTATTTATTAATACGTATTACTTTTACTGTTAAGTCTGTTTTTTGTGATATCCATTTTACGTGACTCTGTATTTATGTATTCCGTCATACTTTGAACGACAAAATTATTTTATGTCTACCTGTGCGAATTTCAATCGCGCGATTTTACGCCAGTACTTAAAACCTTCCATCCTTTATGGGTGGATTTTACATAGATATATAAAATCGTATAATATAAGCAAAATGAGGATGTTAAATTTGATGTATGCCTTTTTGTGCTTCTTCGTTACATTTGTTTGTTTTTATAGTGATTAAGATGATAACACAATGTTGACTGCTGTACCCCTATTTTTGACAATTTTACCTATTGTGTCTGTTTGCTTTGTTCACGCATCGTTGTCAATATAATGGAATTTGATGCGACTGTCATACAAGTGAGAGGTTTATTATCTAGCTATAAAACCAGGTTCAATCCACCATTTTCTACATAAGAAAATGCCTGTACCAAGTCAGGAATATGACAGTTGTTATCCATTCGTTTGATGTGTTTGAACTTTTGATTTTGCCATTTGATTGGGGACTTTCCTTTTTGAATTTTCCTCGGAGTTCAGTATTTTTGTGATTTTACTTTTTATACGACCGCAAACAATTTTTTGGGATCGTATAATGGTATGATTATGATGTCGTTGTCTGTGTCGTCGTCCGAAGACACATTGGTTTCCGGACAATAACTTTAGTTTTAGTGAATGGATCTCTATGAAATTTTTTAAGAAGGTTTAATACCACAAAAGGAAGGTTGGGATTGATTTTGGGGATGCTGGTCCCATCCGTTTAGGAAAAAGGGGCCCAAAAAAAGCATTTTTCTAGTTTCAGGATAATAACTTGTGTATAAGTATTTCGATTGCTCTGAAATTATACCACAATGTTTAATACCACAAGTAGAAGGTTGGGATTCATCTTAGGGGTTATGGGGCTAACAGTTTAGGAATTAAGGGCCAAAAAGGGGCCAAAAACAAGCATTTTTCTAGTTTGCAGACAATAACTTGTGTGTAAGTGTATGGATCTCTCTGACATTGTAACACAAGGTTCCATATCACAAAGGAAAGTCTGGGATTGAGTTTGGGGTCAATTGCCCAAAACATGTAGGAATTAGGGGCCAAAAAGGGCCAAAAACAAGCATTTTTCTAGTTTCCAGGCAATAACTTGTGTTTAAGTGTATGGATCTCTCTGAAATTGTACTACAAGGTTCCATACTACAAAGGAAAGGCTGGGATTGAGTAATGGGGTTATTGCTACAAGGAGGGTTTCAAAAAGTTGGGGGTGGGGGGATTTTTTTTCCAATTTTTTAAGGTGG